ATGCTTTCTGCATCATTCAATAATCTGCCCAGAGAATCCTTCAATAATGAAAACCAAGACTTGAATTTTTCTTCAGTTCCCCCAGCTTGAGAAATGCTGAACTTGTTCTTTCCTTCAATTTTCTAACTCCAGATCCTTGCACATTTTGTTTTAATACCTGACTTTGTTTTCTTGAGCTGATCATTGAAATTTTCTATTCAGCTCTTGTCCTCTCCATTTCTTCTATTTCCTTTAGCATCTCTACACTGGAGAGCAAATTTCAAAGTCTCTTCTGACATCCATTTTGATCTTTTCCTTCTTTCTTGTCTTATTAATTACGTTTTGATTTCTTCCTGTTTGGTGTTCTTGATTTCATCCCACAACTCTTCTGGTCTTGAGTCTTTAGTGTCTAATGTATCAAATCGCTTCTTCAGATGATCTCTAAAATTGAGTAGGATATGTTCAAGGTCATATTTTGGTTCTCATTAATTTGTTTTTTCTTCAGCTTCAGTCTGAATTTGCATACAAGCAATAGATGGTCTGTTCCACAATCTTCTGCTGGCCTTGTTTTGGCTGATGATATGGAGTTTTCCACTGTCTCTTTCCACATATGTGGTCAATTTGATTTCTGTGTATTTCATCTGGTGAGGACCATGTGTATAGCATAAAAAATCTTATGCTATTTTAAAAAGTTATTTGAAATGAACAAATCATTGGTTTTGCAGAATTTTTTCATGCAATCTCCAACATCATTTCTATAAGCAAGGCCGTATTTTCCAACTTCCTCTTTGCTCCCAACCTTTGCATTCCAATCACCAATAATGATTACATGTTTGAACTATATCAGATTGAAGAAGTTGGTAGAATTTTTCTATTTCATCCTCACTGGCTTTAGTGGTTGGTGTGTATATTTGAATAATAGTGATATTTACTGGGTTTCCCTGTAGGTCCATGGATATTATCCTATCACAGACAGCATTGTACTTCATAACTGATCTGGATATGTTCTTTTTCACAATGAATCTAACACCATTCCTTTTCAATTTGTCATTTCCAGAATGTGGTTGAAATGAAATGGCAATGAAATGAAATGACAAATTGAATTTGCCATTTCAACCATGTGGTTGTCAGATTCAAAATCACCAATACCAGTCCATTTCAGCTCACTAATGCCTAGGATATCTATGTTTATGTGTTCCCTTTCATTTTTGACAATTTCCAGTTTTCCTAGACTCATACTTTGTACATTCTATGTTTTAATTATTAATGGATATCTACAGCTCTTTCTCTTCATTTTGAGTTGTGCCCCATCAGCAAATGAAGGTCCTACAGATTTTACTCCCGAGAGCTTTTATCCATTTGCATCATCTCGGTCAACTCTACTTTGAGGAGGCACCTCTTCCTCAGTCACTTTTTGAGTGCCTTCCAAATAGAGGGGTTCATTTTCCGGCACTATATCTGACAGTGTTTCTCTGTTATTCATAAGATTTTCAGTGACTAAATATTTGGAAATAGTTCATCTCTCCTTCCTAGTCTGTCATCATCTGGAGTCTCATCTGAAACCTGTCCACCATGGGTGACCCTGCTGGTATTCAAAATACCTGTGGCATAGCTTCCAGAATCACAGCAACTCACAAACTACCACAATACGACAAACTGACAGACAAGTGGTGGCAGAAGTAAAATTTTTGTTTTGTTTTTAGGAGAATGAATTAAAAGATGGATTCTATTTACATGGTTCAACAATAGTTGGGAATGTGTTATAAAAGGTTATAGTAGTGGAGATAGACAAAATACAGGTTCCACGTATATTTTGGATGTGAAATCCAGAAGGATTGATGTGTAGGGTTGCCAACTGTTCTCATAGATTGACTAACTATTTCTGAAATATCAGGATTTCAGTGCTAAGTCCAGCAAAGTTTTAGGCCAACTGGAATGAGTTAGCCACCCTATATGTAGCTCTGAAAAGAGGATATCCGAGAACATGCATTTACCTAGGATGGACACAGGGTTATTAGTCTGTACCACAAAAAGAAAGCTAAGTCTTCTGCATGATCCTTTTCACAAATTACAGATGAGGAGAAAGGGGACTAGAGAGAAAGAGCAGAGTACAGGGAGGGAGAGAGAAAAATGAGCAAAAGATAAAAAAGGCTGAATGTCTTTGGGGAAAAAACAATTCTGATCATTCATTTCAATATTTTCCCATTGAATAAACAGAGAAAAAGGAAACAAAAGCTTAAAATATGTCTAAACTTAAAGGCTGACTATAATTTCCATTAGTATTCTTTCTCAGAATAAAGCATTAAAACTATTACTTATAACATTTCAAGACATACAAAATACTATAGGTTTTGAATCAAAAATAACTAAATTTATATCCTCAGGACTAAGAAGAATGCTGGTTGCTCTCCTGTTTCCCCACAAGTGACACTTTTGTTCCTTCTTTAGGTCTGGAGAACCTAATACTGACCTATGTCAATACCATCAGCAGTGGAGATTTACCCTGCATGGAGAACGCAGTTCTGGCCTTGGCCCAGATAGAGAACTCAGCTGCAGTACAAAAGGCCGTTGCCCACTATGATCAGCAGATGGGCCTGAAGGTGCAGTTGCCCACAGAAACGTTGCAGGAACTTCTGGACCTGCACAGGGCCATTGAGAGAGAGGCCATTGAAGTCTTCATGAAGAGCTCCTTCAAGGATGTGGACCAAAAGTTCCAGAAGGAATTAGGGGTATATTTATTATATATTTATAAAATGGAAAACTAGTAATTTAATGCTTTCATAGGCATAACAAAGACTTCAAAAACCTAGAAAATCAATCATGAGAATATTATTCAAGAATATTTTCAAATGTTCCTGCCTCCAAGTTAAGCAAGGATGGTGCCTGACAAATGGCCACAGATAAGTGCCATTCTTTCCCATAGTTTTTGAAGCAGCATTTTACAAACAAGGCAATAGTTCATCAGATATCCAGATAAAATAGTCAAGGTGGTGAAAAATAACAATCATTTAGTCAAAATGTACCACCACTCAGCTGTCAGTTTGTCATAATGTGGTGACTTGAGTATTGCTATGAATCTGGAAGCCATCCTATTGGTGTTTTAAGCACCAGCAAGGTCACCCTGAGTGGGAAGGTTTCACCTAAGCTTTCAAACAAGACAGATTAGGAAGAAAGAGAAATGGACTATTTCCAAATATATGGTCAACGAAAACCTTATTAATGGCAGTGGAAGTCAGATAACACCAGAATACTGAATATTGAAACATGACATGTTGTTGTCAGGTGCCGTTGAGTTGGAACTAACTCATAGCAACCCCATACACAGTAGAACAAAACAATGTCCGATCCTGGGCCAACCTCACTACATTGTAGCTGCCACACTTGACGCCATCAATGATGCCACCTGGCCGATCCATCTTGTTGGGGTTCTTCCTCTTTTTCTCTGATCCTCCATCTTACCCAGCATGACATCTTTCTCCAGTGACTGTTCCCTCCTGACAATATGTCCAAAGTATGAGAGACGAAGTTTATCCATCTTGGCCTCCAAGGAGCACTCTGGCTGCACTTCTTCCAAAACGGATCTCTTGGTTCTTTTGGCAGCCCATGGTACTTTCAATATTCTCCTCCAACACCATTACTCAAAGGCATCAATTCTTCTATGATCTTCTTTATTCACTGTCCAGCTTTCACATCCATAT